GCGTTGTTTGTGTTATAAGTTAACTTCATTTATTTATATTTTATTTTCTTTTAAGCATACAGGTTTGGAATATTTTTAAATCCTTAAGTTAAATTATCTAAAGCTTACTTTTTATTTTCAATGAAAAATAAATGCTATCGTTAATATCGATCTTGGTACAATGTAAACCTGTAATCATATGACTACTTATACAGAATTTTACTATATTATAGGCCTAGACTAGGACCAGGCCTCCTACTATAGTATAGAGGCCTAGTCCAAGACCTTGTTGCAAATCCCAGCCCACATAAGCCTAACCTATAATGCCAAGCATAGGGCTCGTGATCGCAATACCCTGACCATTAAAAATTAGCAGACGCACTGGGAAGCGTTGTTCACGGCATGCATTGGACTGCAGCGAAAAATGATTCCCCCATCATTAATGGAACAGGCCCACGTCATGCTTGGCTGATTAGTTTTGATTTACATTTCGCAAGTCTAGTGCCATACGCAGCAGAAGTCCGTTTCTAGTGTTGTTGTCAAATACATTTCAAACCAGGCTGGTTTTTGATTTACGTTTTGGAATAGAATTTGGAGAGGGCGTTTGATCAAATCAGACCTACGTTTTGAATTTGAATTACATTTTTTAAGAAATTAGAACTACATTTTAAAAAATTTGAACTACGTTTTGAAAAATTAGAACTTCATTTTGGGAAACCAGATCTACATTTTGAGAAATTTACGCCTACGTTTTGATAAATTAGACATTGAATTTTGCAATTACATTTTGATTTTAACATGGACTTTTGCTGCGTATGGCACCCCATACAAAACCATATCCAAATTTCACGTTCCACTTTTGACCCTGAGTTGTGCTTCGCACTCGCCGCTGAGGGCGGCGTTCCGGGGAACCTGCGTCAAGAATATTTTTCGAACGATGTGTGAGGCATAAGACATGTTGATCAAGATTTAAACACTGTATCTACATTTTTGAATTTTATTTTGTCGTTGTCCATTGTTTGTTTGTTTTATTGGTTTTTCTACACACAACATTAAAAGTACAGTGAATGCAAACTTAAATTACAATATTGAATATTTCATTCAATTCATACATTGTCAGTAAACTTAAGCCGAGTTATCACTCCAGGTCAAGGTCCAGTCTGTAATCTACGTCGACTCGTTTGTTTGTCCTGCTCGTATGTAATGATTACGGTATATTAAAATTCGGCCTACAATCCGATTTTAAAGACTTAGCGCTACGGTATAGACGGTCATGTCTCCACTCTGGACTTCCGCTATATGTCTTGTTGCGATTGTTCTCTACCAAGCCACTACACCAATAACAGTTAACATTTTCTCCGAGGTGGCCATCGCTGCTGATAAGGTGCGCATCTTCAAATTCTTGAGTAACCTGACCAAGGTACTAGAACAGGGGCCGATCAGGTTTGTAAATACTTCCTGTCCAACATTTTATAGGGCCTTATTCATTAATTTTATTTTAGTTATTTATAGTTTATTTAAATTATAATCATAAATTATAATCTGGTATAATTCATATTTATTCATCAAATAATTTTTTCAAGAACATTTTACCTTTTAGAGTGAAAATAATTGGCACATTTGAAGAGGAAGGCGTTACAATGGACTATTACAAAATGGTTAATGACATACCAATACTTGGCTCATTTTCATTTTCAACCTATTATGATGCTTTTCTTTGTAAATTTCCGTAAGTTATTTTGGCCTAATAGGCCTATTTTATTTTGGTATTAAACTCATTCTCACACGAAACCGGATACATGCAATTACATTAATCGCCTTACCTATTTTAACCTTTTATCTTTTCAAGGAGGTTAACATTTTTAACCTCCTTGATCTTTTACAGACAGACGAAATTTCTTTGCCCTCTCTGTTCCTCTACAAAATAATTCATGGCCGCTATGTTAATATTTCTGTGGCATTCTGTGGGCATAATATTATGTTCTGAAATATTTCAGAACAGCTTCAAATAGCCCACTAAATTTCTCTAGACAAAAAGTGGGAGGGGCTTACGTGCGTACGTTCAGTATTATATTATTAGTGGATACTCTGGTTCTTGTATCCAGAAATTTAATAATTCCACTTCACCTTAGTTAATTTCCGATAATCTAAAGTTGTTAATTTCTTTCAATATTTTACAGAAAAAACTTTACAATATCAACAAAATTTGAAACCAATTTCGCTATAATGCGGGGAAAGACAACTTGGACATTGCATAACACAAACAAAGATGGGAATGATATGGTCACTAAACTCAAAGAACAATTCACAGCCACTTGTCCATGGATCTTTAGCCACATTACGGAGACAGTTGCTCGTGAGGAACATCGGCACACCCTGGAGTCTATCAAGGAACGAATGGAAGCTGAAGGGCATGGTTGAATTAGCAACATACCATTACAAATTTAGCCAAGCCGTATTAATGCCTCCTATTATAAATATTATCACAGCTCTCAACAAATGTTGTCCTGTAAATAAATGCATTTTGTAATAAAATTCTTCTAACGGGATTCGAACCTGCGACCTTTCGCTGTCAAGGCGAGCGTCATAACCATTAGACCACAGAGGCTTCTTGGTTGAACAAATATTCAAATAACTGGATGCTACATTGTATTACACAATGATGGTGCACCTCGGGAGGGCGTTAAGTACGACTGGAAATAAATAGTAATGTC